TCCGATAATTGTATCATGGAGCCTTGTGAACGCGAGCAGCGGTTCAGTGGGTGGCTTGAGCTTTACACTCCCAAACACGAAATAAAAGAAATTAATAACTTCCTCCCGATTGAAAGATTTGTCAAATTATAGACATAAACTCAAATTTGAAAAAAAAAGGCGTTTTAAGCTACGGTATACCTCCAGTTTATGATACCTACTTCTTAGCTTAACACATATGTGTTTGTAAAGGATGCTATAGGATATTGAACTGTCAAGATGAGGAAGTCCTCAATTGGACGCAATTCACAACGCAATTTCTTTCGAACACTAAACAGATTTTTGTGGTTCTCTTACAGTAAGGACGCAACAATAAGTTATGAGATTGGACAATTATCTATGTGTATATATAATAATAACTTTCTTCATCTTAAATATATACTGTTCTATAATAATAGTCTATACTAATATAATAATAATAATATATAATAATTATATCAAGAGCTAATGTTCTCTTCATTGTGTATACATGCCCAATAAAACCTGATTAGATTATAATGATAAAAAGCAATAATGCATACTGTGAAGAAATAGAAATAGCGGTGCATGCATATCATTGATATCAGAGGTGCGGGGTCCAATCCGTTCGAATGTTTACGTCTTTAACGTTTTAATTTACATATTTTTTTAAATATCTATGGCCCAGTAGGCTCCAGAAGCACGTTGTTTGTTATTTATCCAAAAAAATCTATCGTAAAAAGTTAGTGTGCACTTCACACATACAATGCATTTTGTTATTATGTACGCGTATACATTCCTTTACAATTAGTCAAACTTTAACACAACTAAAAATAACATTATGAAACAATCTATAATATAATAATCAGTTTTAAAATTTTCTGCACAGTATAATGACTTAGTTATTGTACATTATAGGTATGTAGAAGGAATTGTGTCACACACGCTGTCGCTAATTTACCTATGTATGACATTCGCGAACGCTGGCACTCCATGAATTTGTCGATAAATCTGATTTCGCGCTGCATCCATGTGGTATTCCGACTAATTTATGAATCGTTGATTTAATCCTATCAAAGTTAACAATATCTCTGCAAAATATAGAGACCCGAAAATTACAAAAACAAACTACTGTTAGAATCATAAAGGCTAACAAAACATGAGTAAGACAACTAAGTTATTTTATTTAACTGTTCTAAGTGAAAACAATGATATAAATATTTAGTATTATTAAGAAAAAATATTCTTATTTATATGAAAACTAAAACAATTTTTATTACGCTATATTAGATAGTAATAATATCTCAGAACAATTCATACACCGTAATCTAGTACTAAGCTCAGCAGAGGTTACGTTATGGATACTACATAACTATCTTAAATACATAGAAAACACCCAGACCCATACAAATAATCTAAATCTCTCTGCGATAAACGAACCCGCGAACATTGGAAGTGAAGCGATGTGCTGGAGCACCGAGGTCGTCGTAAATAAGTAATATATATATACTAATTATTATTATTATAAAATAGCAATGGGTAGCATATGACATATGACAAATATAACGGGGCTGGTATTATACATACTGATTATAGCTTGGAAACCTTGAAAAGTGAATAAATTGATACAAATAATCTTTAGAAATATGCTCTGCAAAAAGACAACAGTCTTAAAAATTCAGTATGGCAGAGACAAAGAACCAAGAAAAAAAATGTTATCGCTGAGCATAAGCGACGAGCACGCAACGCACAGCCTTCATCAAAGAGTTAGAGATTTTACCGCGCCGTTTATGCAGAAAACATCTGCTAAAGAAGGATTTTAGGCATTCCACTCCTAATTGGACAAAATAAGTGATTAAGCACGTGTAATACCATCTATTTCAATGTCAGGAGTTCTAAATTTCACAGACACGTTTCTGGTTAGAAATAAGTTTTGAAATAAGACAAATAAAATTTAACACCAAAGCTTTTTAGCAAAATAATTAAAACACATGATTTTTCATTTTTGAAAATTAAACCCCCACTGGGATGTATATATCATTATCATAACTATATTTAATTATAATTATAGTTAAATAACTATAATTGGCAACTGGAGAGAAATGTGATATATATTTTGTAAATTAGGGTATGCTGGTGATTCTAGATTATATATTTGTAAATAATTCTGGATATATAATGAGAAATTACAGATAATTCTCATCTAATTTAAAAGTATTCTTATCTATAGAGACCAAACATAAAAGATTACCAATGGTATTCAGAGAAAGTGAATTGTTCAATTCATAAAAATAAAATATAATCAATTCATAGAAAATCCCCGAAATTGTTTCTAACTAATTAGAATATACAATTAATACTTTTTTTGGAAGATAAGCAATGTTCAACAATTTTTATTTTTATCTGAACACATAAGTAATTTCTCCGCATAAAGAACTGATGGATTCTGATGACTGAATTTCACTGATCACCATGATGTTTTAAATATATGCCAACATGTAACAAGTATAAATCCTGGTGATAAACATCCTTAAAAAATCACCAGTAAAATTCATCTTAATACAGCTTAATGTACATAAACAAGTAATCAAATAAACCACCCCATACAATATTATGATTCCTATATTCACCAGTCAAATGTTAAATAATATGGAAACACATTAACACTCTAATATATACACAAGAAATCTAATTCTGAATCTTAATTATTAATCTCTCGATAGAATAACTTATAGGTTAAAAATGCATTAATTAGGACTAAAAATATTCCACATTACTCAATTTCCACTACTTTTTTCCTTTAAAATCAACTAATTATCATACAATTCAAACTCATCCACTTACTGATTGGTAATGAACATATTTTCTTCATGAAATTTCCTCTATGTGACACAAAGATGAAATAGGATGTATTTCTATTCAATATAAAGTCTTATACACATTTATTTAAGATAGTTTTTCATAAAACTGTCTCTGTGAACATGCTATAGTCCAGTGAGGTTAAAAAAAGCAGTTGAATGCTAATCTAACAGGAATATTATAAAACCAGGGTATCACACAGTAATACAATAAACCAACGGCAAAAATAGCTCCCATAATACTGAGATAAGTAGTATAAATTATTTCTATTCAAATAAATGAATGGTATACAATAATTCTATATAATTTATTGCATAGTACTGGAATAATGGAAGTGAACATTTATTACACTTAATTACAATCCTACTATATTTTACAGTTTTAAGCATATGAAAAAAGAATGTCCTACTCAAAATTAGAAATTTACTTGTAATGTATTTCCTATAATATATGTTAGAAGAAATTAGCCACTTTAATATGATTAAGTAAGAAAAGAGATTTAAATATCTAAACATCAATAGTTAGATACTGACATTTATAGTTATATTAGTAGTAACAACAACTTCTTATATAAGATAAAAAAATATGCAATATGGCTACAAAAGTTAACATTGCATGAATCAATCATCAATTAAAATAAAAAATATGGTAAATGCAATCATTGTTTGATTAATTCACCAATAAGTGAAGAAAAATCTCTGTTCATTTTATGATTTATGAGTATGTTATATACTAGTTATGTATATATACTTACACCAAGAGAAAGCTTTTAGCGTAAGTATATATACATAATAATATATGTATCTATATATATAATTATATGTAAATTTTTTTTAAGTGGCCATCAACATAGCATGATATAATTATTTATTTCTCCTCCCAAACATGGATGGATATATACCTCTAGTCAGACACATACTTTTCTTTCATACTTGAATTATATAATAATATTATATACAGCCATGGACAATTCATGAAGGCAATGAATTCATGAAAAGTGTATATTATAGCTCATTCAGATATTATACATACAAACATAAAAACAATAATATTCAGTTATGCATATATTGATTTCATTTATCATTATATCTAATACAAATAATCAAACTGATTACATATAAGTACATTGAGTTATGATTAGATATGGAGAGTCAGCAGAACCATGTGTACTAAGGCTTTGTCTACACAATGGTAAGTCTTTTGTGTCTACTCTGGGTATTTTATAGATAAATTGATTTATATGAATATAATATTAAAAAAAAGTTACAATAACATTCTTATTTTAAAAATATTGTTGATATGTTAAGTCCATATAGCTCACAGGCTCAAATATGCAACCTCAATGCTCAAATATTATTTCTTGTATGTATATGTACTCTATGAAGTTTAAGTACATACATGTATAAAAAATAATATTTGAGCATAGAGGTTGCATATTTGAGCCTGTGAGCTACATGGACTTTATAATGTAAAACTTCACTCTATTATTTCTTATATGTGCCTGGCCGACATGATTACTGCCCTCACACAATTTAAATTTAGAATCAATTGTAGAGGTACATCTCAGTCGTTCAATAAAGGATGGCAAATAATTCTATATGCTACATATAATTTTACTAACTTGTTGCATTACAATAATTTATATTTTGAGCTACATTAATTCCTTTTAACCAAGCAATAAAACAAGGCCTGTGCTGACCATGAGAGTATACTAATAATATATAACTTATAACAGAAGAAAGGTATTTGATATTGAATTTGAATTTGATAAAAAATTGTTTAATCTAATCAAATCAAAAAGATACTCATCACACATTGTAGAATTTCTAAGCTTTGACACCAGGCAGAGATCAAATGTAAGCACAGCCTTTGTATAAATTCTCTAACAATTAGACCACATTCATTGTGTTTAGGTGAAAATTATCATCCAACTTTTCAGTCTCATGGAAAAATGAAAATTATTACGTATTTATTTTCTTTAATATTTTAATTAGTCTAATAAAAATATTAAAGAAAATAAATACGTAATGTGCAAACCACATAGAAGTAACGCTCAGCTCCACAGGCAAATTTCTGATGGAATAAGACATATCTCATGGTCATGCTTTAAATGAGGAAGTGATTGATTGATTGCGATTACTTACCACTATGCTCCGTGAATATATTAGAGCCTAGCATGCCGGGGACCTTCGGCACTCGGGGCTTGGTGCGCGCCGAGCGCATGGACGCACCACTCGCCGTGCCGCGTTCTTTGGCCTGCTGGGCTCCCATCGTGAGGCGCCCTTTGGTCGCAGCCCTCTACAGCGTGCAAGCGAAACCCTCCGCCGCCTCCACGGCCGCGACACACGACACGCCACCGATGCACACTAATTCAATAAGTATAACGACATTGACACGTTCACGGACTTCATACTGGAAGATATGACGTCGTCTTCAAGTCAATAATAAATTACGAACAATGTTTAAATCACACTAAGCACATACTTTCAATACAACACTCACAGAAAAAAAACATTACCGGAATTGTTCGATTACAAAAAACAACAAAATCTCCGCCATTATATGCGTGACTGAGACTGACACGATGTATTTGATTGACGTCTGTTATTTCTAGTTTACAGATTGAGCCGACGATGGCAGCACTGTTTTAAGCACAGATTAATAATATGTTAAAATTTCTACAGATAACATTTTCTCATTTGAAGTCTATAAGCCGTCATTCACACAAGTGTAACCTACAATTTATTATTATTAGTTGTAGATAGTACATGTTGCAAATGAAGTTTATTCAAATTAAAAAATATAGAATAAGACGAAAAGTATACACTAATATTACTAGAGTGCCTTACGAATAATAAGAGGAGGAGATGGAAGTAAATAAAAGTATTACACACTGCAGGGGGTACCCTGCAGTGTGTAATACTTTTATTGTGTAAAAATTTCGCTCTACCGAGCGAATAGGAATTTTTAACATTATTACCACATAGAAGATAGTATTACATACTTATTGAACATTATATATGATAAAATAGAAATAAGGAGAAATGCCCTAGTAACCACTCTAGTCACAGACATTTATACTAGTTATATTTAATAATTTATCTGATTGGGTTGTATGTAGAAATTAATGGAACTGATATATAATTTTTCATTTACAATATATTCTTACCAACAATTTTAATTAAATAGGCATATCAATATACCTAATGCAAATTTACCTTTGTCGCGTGGCAACAACGGTGCAATATAATTGGGCTAAAAAGGACTTGTATCCAGAGCCGTAATATATTAAATAAAAAAAATTGGTTGGGTGTTATGGTATTTCTAAAGCCATAAATCTACTTATTTATAAAAATAATAGATTTGTTTGTAAGTGGTGACGGCGGTTTTTTCGAAATAAATCGACTTATGAATCGATTTGAATCGAAATCTGATTTATCGGTAAATAAATTGAAAGATATACTTTTAATATTTTTTTTTGAGATAATATAAGTATATAAATTATGATTGCATTGCAAATCTTTGAATTTCTCGGCTATTTCTGTACTGTAACACACATGTATTATACGTATACACCTCACCTTGCTCTTGATTCACTCTATGTATGGCTTAAAACGCACTGAAATCCGTTGTGTATTTAAAGATAATAGGGAAAAAACAGCGGTGGTGACTTTATTGTATGTTCTATGTAAAGAAACACCTTTGTAACCACAAAGTATAGTTTTAAGTTATTCTAGAATACTATAATGTAAATTACAGCACCAATATTGACTTGTAAAAACTTGCCCAATATTCAGCTTGGAAAGAACTGTTACCACCGTAGTAGTGGGAGTCAGAATTTATATATAGGTTTGTGTATCATAGTAGTAGATATAGGTAGTTCATGTAATGACCACACAGCTTCAAATTCATAATGTCACTAGTATGCAAACCCTCTATATACTATACTCTTTAATTTTTATTTTTTATATACTATACAATACAAATGTATTGTATAGTATATAAAAAAATTATTATATACTATACAAATGTATGAAATGTCATACCACCAATGTCGATTTAAGTGGATCGTGAGTGGATCTTTCTTATTGATATTACTATTACCACTATTACTATACCCTTAGATACTATTTTTAGACATTCATTTAATTATAAGCTAATAATAAACAACACACATTTAATGGAATATTTATTTATTCAACAACATGTTTTCGATGCTTAAACTATAACTAGGTACTTATAGTATGTATTACAACAAGTACTCACATAATATTAAAAACAAAATACTTGTCTAATTATTTATAACTAGCAACAGCAATTTCTGAAGTCCATGATATCACGACAAACTATCACCCCAAATCTATGATTTAGGAAACACTTATGTTTACAGTAACCTATACTTAGTATCTCGCCGTTACCAATATATTGAGGAACTCGTATATACAATACATAGAGGTTGTAATTCGATCGTCATTACTATCATTTACGAATGATCGTTGATGAGGCATCAAAATATCCGCGAGTAGAGAATACATGTCACACTATATTACTTGAAATTTGATCATAAGTGTGGAGTATCGAGTACCGTGAACTGTGCTGGTCTACAGGATGAACAGTACTCGGCTCAATACCACAAGGGATAATACCGAAACCCGTGAGACTGGCCATTCACTGCCTTCCTGGAGAAGTACCTACTGCGACTTTATTGACTGATATGTGCCATCGTGAGTGCATGAGAGTTGCAACATAAGCGACGCGTACAACATACTCGTGTTTGATATCAACCGACTTTTGACGATCTAATCACGTAACACTTGTATCAGCTCTCAAATATGTTCGTGCACTGATAGTATGCTTAACTTTGTTGGACCCCCTATCTTTAAGTTCCGTACAAGACTCAGCTTTGTGCTGACTAATGGCTTTAACTTTTAACAAGATACGTAACAAGAAGACTTAACAAAAAGTATTCAAGTAACAACAACACTTATAGTACATGATGGTAAACAATAAAATCACCTGGTGCTTTTGCAATCACTACAGGTATATATAGCTTATTGTACAATTTGTACCTAGGTACCTATTTTACGCTCTTTACAAGTATTTATATTTATGCATATTGGTCACATATATATATATATATTACCAATACAAAAACGTATCATCCAGGAATTACTAATAGGAGAATTTTATTCACAAAATTTAAGCTAAAATGCTTTCGAGACCCCATAGACTAAATTTAGTGTTAAATTGACTCCAATTGCTATATTTTTTATTTTTTTAGAATCCCTGAATAATCATTAGTATTATTAAAATTAGTATAATGATATAATTAAAATATTTTAAATTGATTTCTGTGTCACTTAACCAACAGTAATTATAAATATTAACGATATTAATAATTACTACACATGAATATAGCATAAAGGTAACTTGAATTTATGTAACACATCAATATCCTATCTTCTGCATGTCTCACGTCGAAGTATCCTAAAATTGTGAATCTCACTTAAAATAAAATTTCAAATACTAACTATGAGAACTCTAAATTACATGGCCTCTACATGGTAAGACACCATTGTTATTTCATTCTTAGGTTCTCATTATAAACTTACATAAAAGGTCATAAATTACTTCAAACTAATTTCAGAAATGTTGCTCCTTCTACGAAACAGCGCACTTCTATACTTAAAACGTTGTGTTTTAACAATGACTCTTAAGAGGGCAAGAACTATCTTAGATTTCATGATGTTTTAAACAAAGTTTGTGACTCCAATCCAACAATGTCACTCTATAGCACCCCTTAACGTTTAGGAATGACCACTAATCGTAGCGGTGCATGGCAGTTAATAAACAATATTAATATTTTTATATTATGTAATAATCAATAAATTGTTATATATTTATTGTTAGAACAAAATAAGAACTTAGCAACTAAACAGTGTCTAAACACAATTTAAATGATATGAATAAATGGCTTACTCAATATATAGCATACAGTTACTTGGACGAGAAAAAGATTCCGAGCCACTGCAAATCACAATGTAAATACATTCAGTCAGTAAGTCAGTAAGTACCTACATTATGATTTTAACATATTCACCAGGTATATTAGTATATGTGAGTGTTAAGCTAGGAATTAGATCACTACGAGGCAATATTAGCACTGTCATCATCTAAGTAATTAGTGTATATTTTAGAATAATTATAGAGTTGAATATGTGCGACCTCAACACTATTTGAATCCATCACAAGGTACACAACATAGTGCCGCGACTGCTATAATCTATACATCATATATAATCGTTTATTCTGACTGATTTATTGCCGTACAGCCTAAACCAGATATAATTCATTTAACGATTGATTATTGATTGATTGATCCAGACAGGTTAGTTGATGAATTTTATGATGTAAACAAGCAAGAAAGTAGCTAAAGTTGTATGGACAGCTGTCCTTTTCAAAGTTAGAATGATGAAACTTATATTTGTATATACATACTTAAAGGTATAAATAATGCAAATTCCAAAATTCCTTAATATAACCTCCTTTGGGAAATAGCAGTATGCTTTACAAATTGATATAAATAACAATCAAGAGCAATATAACATACGCGACTATGGCGTAATGAATGTTTGTTTTGGAGGCTTCTTTAGAGAGCTGGTATATTTTTCTCGTCCATACTATAATTATCACTTTCATACTTGAAAGAATAATCATATATAATAATATATAGGCATATGTCAGACAATATATAAAATAATTTAGTTAACAATAGCAAGAACTCTGTACACTAATAAAATAACACTGAAACTAGAGTACTTAAATTATAGGTATTATAGTGAACCAGCTTTTTTACCTTGTATCGTACACGGATACTACACGATTTGTGAGTACATGATATGTTTAATTTTATTGCTACATAATTCTTAATAACTAATCTGAGCATGTATAATACTGCTGAGTGCTGGTCAAAGTGTTTTCACGAAAAAAAAAGACAGCGCAAATGGTTGTGCTGTCTGGTTTGGTGCGGTCTAGTGCGATCTAGTGCGGTGCGGTACGATGCGGAGCACGCAGTCGGCGTAGATAAATTATATTATCGCGATTGTTTGTATCTTCTGTTGTTACAATCTCTCTCTCTCTTATTATTTACTGAAAGTCCTAGTTAATTGTTCTACAATTATGTTTCTTTGGCACCTTTCCTTTGGCCCTCAGTAGTAAAAGCAAAGACAGGTTGTTGACACTCTTGCAATCTTTAGAATCGCTAACACATAAACATTTTCATAATATTAAATTAGTTTTCATTGGGAAATATTTTTTATAATCTAATAATAGTTAAGCCATTAAGAAACTACCACTACTATATTTTAATAATTAATATTCTCAAAAGGAAAATTTTGTACAATGCAAGAGTGTCATCATATTCGATAACTTTTTATAGAAATTGAGCACACCATTTTATGAAGTTTCTACCTACAAATCACCATCTATAGACCATAATAGGTAATTGAAACTGCTAACTACCGCTCTCTCTGTTCTAATATAAGTAGTTATTAATTTTATTAGTTTCCTTAAGCCGTTGTTGAAATGAAAATATTTTATTAGAGGTTTTTTAGCTATGATCTACGTTAAACGCATATCTACCACACAGCTTTCCGCATCATATGCTAAATACATATTCAACTTATTAAATAATTTAAGTACATTTTAGTATTCAGTAAATAGATTATAGAAAGACAAAGTTAGGAAGAGCGTGTTTAACACGAAAACTCTTCCATATCACATGATATTGCTGTGCGGCCAAGTCTCTGGCTGAAACTGACACGCACTGAAGGCGGCGTGGGCTACATGATAGGTACAATCGGCTTTATAGAGATCTTTGATGACAGCATTGTCAATGGCATAGGCTAGCTGAAAGTTTCCAATATATATCAATATTTAAAGTATATGTATAGTTAGTTAAATTATTGTAAAGATAACAAATAAATATACTTTTTCGCTTGAAAAGTAACCTCTTGTCGATAAAAACTTAAGATTATTAGACAAGAGTCTCTTATTCTAGTTTCTCATTTAAATTTCGAATATATTGTACAAGGATGAAAACATTGGATGTTTACATATGGTTATTCTTATTCCGTCCTCTAAGATTATATAGACCAGCCAAAACCCAAAGACCTATATTCAGCTGACTGCGCGATACAGCACATACAGATGCAGTCACAGTCTACAAAGCAGCAGCACTTTGATAATAAAACCTCGTGAAGATATGGGCATACTAGAGTGCCGAAAATGAATTTAACGCCTCCCAAAGACAGTACTTCACCTGTACTTGAGCTGTAGACAAAATAGATATGAGCTTTATAAACTCAATTACCTACCTACACAATATACAATAAATATATAGGTAGTCGATTCGTACAATGGCTAAGAAAAACGACATGTCATTCATTCTCGAATAATTATTAATGTCTTTATATATGCCAGAATTGGACATTACGATCAATCACACCGAGCATTAGAACTTTGAATTATTTAACATGAAATATTTATACTTACTAATAAATATGGCAATTTCAATATTTTCTAGTAGGAATAGATAGTGATAGAGCTATTGTAACAATCATATATATTTCATTCAATTTGATTGTAACACGCTAATAGACAGTATTCGAAATCTAATAAAAATTATTATCATAAAAATAGAAATTTCATTCTAAATATTATTAATAAAATAAATTATAAAATAACTTATTTTTAAAATTAATAGGCTAGGTTATATACTTGTTCATCTATTTTTTATAGTTTTAGTACCGTAGGGGTCCTCTGTCGTTTTGCGCTAATCAGTGTTGTTGTTCTAAATATTGGAATACCTACAATGGTATGCCACCTACGCCTTATTAAAGTGTACCAACTATGAGTACGTAATACGACGAACGATTACTATCTACTGATAACATTTCTTCGATGAGGATCATCACTGCTGCCAGCGAGAAATGACGCGGCTTCTCCGCCGGCAATCGGCCGAACGGGAGAGTGGCTGCTATACGAGACTGATCTGACGATCATATATACAATTATTTAAAACAAGTCATGTTTGCGAGCGGCATGCGGGAGTACGAATGTATGTTGTTGTATTGTATTCGTTTATACTCCGAGGCGGCACGGTTTGATACGATGCGGCGCGGCGCGGTGCGTCGCGGCACGGAGTCACCAGATGCGCGATCACACCACCGCAGCTCCGGTCTCTGGTACCGTCTAGCCAGGGAGCGGCGCCTCCTGGTAGAAATCAGGCTCGTCGTCCATGTCTATCTCTTTCTGAGCACCGTCCAGCTGTCAATGATATAATTATATTCGGTTGAGAATACGAAAGTACATAGGTACAAAAAGGGCGCATATGATTTTAGCAATTCCTGTAATGTCAGAAATTATATTTAATTAAAAATGTGGTTCGTAGAATCGTATGCGGCATGTTATATAAATGCAAGAGAACCTTCGTAACACAGAGTACGTCATTGGCACCAGATAATAAATATGAATCATAAAAAAGATTTCTTCTTACACTTACACAGACACGCACTCATATACAGTCTCTATCGCTCATAAATTATAAGTATCATATTTGAATATTTTATTACAAAGATTGTATACCTCAAAATTGCGTTTTAAAGAAGATCTGTTTATTCGTTTTTAAATTGTATACCTATATTGCTCTGGAGATAGCCGCTAATAACTGCGTCAAAGTTAATCAATAAACAAATATATAATTCTACTGCAATATTTTTGTAATAGTTTCAATAAATTCTTTAATACTGTCTCCCTGAGATTAAATGTCGAAGATTATGTACTTACCGCTCGCAGCTGTAGCGGGGTGAATATGTAAGCCAGCGAGAGACGCAGCGGCACCATCATGACCAAGAAGAAGGGCAGCGCGAGCGACAGACGCGACGATTTAACGGCGTACAGCACGCACAGGCCGGCAGCCTGGATTATCGTGAAGAGGTGCATCCTCATAGTCGGCACCTGAAAACAGCGATTCACCACTTGTATTTACATTACATCTCTTTGCTAACCTTACATCTAGCATAAGACCATTTAAATTAGTTCTGTCTGTTGTCTTCTTCAATTGCTTCAGTCACGGATTCTCATTAGTTTAACAGTTTGTTATATTAAAAGCTGCTGAATGACAGGCATGATTACCACTGACTGTTACCATTTTCCATCTAAGGGCTGGGTATAGGGTAGAGCAGGACTATTTGCCAGCCTTAAATAAGGTTATTTTATTTTTGTCACAGTATATATTCTTTAATCTAAAATAAAATGTGTCTGTTTGTAATATCAAATAAACAGATTTTCACTAACTGTACATTAAAAAAATAATTTTGTAAAATTGTAAAAATTTGCTTTATTAATTTTTTTTGGGGTACCCATACTTTTGAGGAAATAAAACATATATATATAACAACATATTCTTAGACCTATCGATTATAGATAAATATAAAGAAGAAATATCGCAACTAACACTGTGACACGAGAATTTTATATGTAGATATATGGAAGCGGCCTGCACGATTATTTTAATATAATATATAGATATGGAAATGGCCTACAACATGATTCTAAAATGACATATTGAAAGTGTAACATAATTTGCTATACTGACCCTTCTAACGTAGGGCACCTGCGGGTGGTGCTTGACTGGTTTGAACAGCAGGATGCATCGATCCCAGAACTGAATGCCGCCGAGGGCTGAGATGCCCATGTAGAGGAACACGCCGAAGAGTACAGCCATCGGCACCAGTCGCAGCCAGCTCGACGCCAGCACCGATACTCCGACAAGTATCGACACCAGCAGCCCAGTCAGACGTTGCTCTAAAACATTTATAAGTACTTCATGATACCAGCCGAGTTACATATTAATACATCACTCTATTACAATTATATGTAGGTATACTGTTAACTTAAAATTCTGTAGAATCTTGTATGTCAGAAAAAATAGGGTGTCCTTTATACATTTTTTTTTATTCAGAAATATATATGTATTTTAATTCCTTTATGTACACAACTGCAAATGTACATAAATTGTATATAGTATGTTGGAGGTTTACCTATATCGAAAGCCAGGGCTAAATGTATTGAATTGTACTACACATTTATAAATAAAGATTATTATATAATTAACATATAGTTACTTTTTATTAACAATTATATAGTCAATCTTGTAATAAACGTGAATAAAAAGTACTATTTTTTTATATACCTACAGGCTTCCAGAGAAAAAACAAGTGTCGCAATTGAATATTATTAATGATATAACAATTGAATATTAATCTTTAATGTGGGTCATGGAGTCCATAACGGAAGTGGTTGCAGTATCACACATGCCTATGGTGACGCAAATAAACAAATTAATTTAAACCTAATATTTACTGTTTGTATACGTTTAATGCCAGCATAAATCAATAGGTGACCAAGAACATCGCGTCGGAATTAGGGCCTTACAAAAAGATAATTGGAGTAGGTAAATCTCACATCAATGTCCATCTAAAGCAGTTCCACTTTCTAAATAAATAATAACTCAATAAACTTTTTATCTGAACTCAAATTATTAATTAAATTGCATCGAAACTACATCAGAACGTGATAAATACTGTGTCTATAATAGCTTTATGTTATCGCCCGTACTATACATCGTACAAATTTATTCACAATAGTCTCCCAGCTGACACAACATACATGTCTCATTTAATGCAAGAGAAATATATATTAATTAATCAGCTTATAGAATTTTGTTTGTACTCTATGCATCAATAACACTTAGTTAATTGATAAATAATATACGAACTACATTCACTCAGTAATATATAACATTATTTATAGTTTATCTACATGAAACCACAATTATGTAGGTGTTGTATCAGTAATGTATTTTAAATTCTAAATTTGTATGTAATTTTATTGTTCTATAATTGTACATAGTTGTTTATACTTCATTTCTGTCTCGTCAATAGTTGTCCTAATATATATCTCCGTATTCCAAGTATTTTTTTATAGTTTTCGTTTTGCCTATACACAATTAAATGAAACTATAATATAATTTGATTAAGACAGCATTGAACCACTAAATTTAGATAATCGGAGAGTATCCTATATATAGATATCACACTATATACTACATTTAAATATATTATACACGGCATCGAGAATCTCTTTATTTCATAAAAAAAAGCAATATATGGGTGCGTACTAACAGAGAACAAGTGCGAGACCGGTCATCGTATAAAAACGCAATCATTTTATGGAAGATTACTACTGTTTTTATATTCAGCGCGAACGGTTCTGATTGATGTTGGTCTACCTATACCAATGTACACACACATGTAATACGTAACGACGATAAAAAATATTTCTATAATCATAATATATCTAACTAACTAATTAGCAAATAGTGACATCACATTTCGTCTTTTGAATACTTTTGTGATAATGTAAATTAGTCATACAATTATTTATGGTAACTTAAATATACAGAGCTGACAAGCTACTAGCTATGGGTAAGTAGAATAATAAATATAAAAATAGCTCATACATTTCCTTAATTTCACTAATACATTTCTAGTATTGTTTTTTATATTATCCATTCATAAGTCTAAAGTGAATAAGTATAAAAAATATGAAAACCGGTTTCACGAACGTAGAAATGTAGCATCGCCTTGTATAATACGTGTTTCTCACTAAAACTTGTATTTTCTCTCCCAAAGAATGTAACCCAGGTATTATTTTAATTATTTCCAGGACGATTGCACTAAAGAGAGTATCGATAGTATAGAAACACACCGCAGTGACGCAGTGGTGAGTGGCTTGTTGGTAATATGTATTGATTCCTTTGCTAGCAATGTTAGGTTGATCTCCACGTGGTTTCTCCTAGAAATCATTACGATAAAATGGTGACAGATTTGTTACCATTAGCAAACTGATTTGATTTTATGCTCTTCTTATCATCCTCCATCGGAATCCCGGTAGGGTAAACCTTTAGCGGAAGCGGATGCACTATTCCAATATCCATTAAAAAAAAAAACAGCGAGGACGAGTGCGGATTGCTGTCTACGATTGTCAATGTCTGTTTGTGCAGAGGACCGGCAAACTAGCATCGTACCATAATGGTTTTTACTTTTTTGTTCGGACTTAGCATAACACTTAGCCCACGCACGGTCGAACTTCCACGCAACCGGTAGCTCTTTTACAGCGGTGCTCTTGTACTTAAACAGTCACCCTACACCGGACTCGACCGACTGTTTTTTTTTTATAGATGATAATGGAATCATTTAACTGTCTGCGCTAACGGTTTACGCTAGCGGGTCATCAATGGAGGATAAGATGAGTCAGGTCAGTTAACCCATCGTGACAAATTCACCAGGAATTTATCACAATGTTTTTTTAAAGGGAACCGCGTGGTGGTCTACCTGACTTGGTATAACACTAGCAATGGGGTCAACAGCCCACATTACTAACAATACATGAAACAATCGGTAAGGAGACCCTTCTCCCTACCGATTGTTTCATGTAGGCATTCTTAAATATATTTATATGATTAAAAAACTTATTACTATTTACATATTCTTAATTTTTCTTTATTCCCACACTAATACTATAAACGTACTAGTGTGTTACGCTATAAACTATCTCTTTCTCTAAATAGGTCAAAAGTCGTAGAATTTTGCCAATTTGACTCTGTTTAGTTATTACTTCAAATTATAAGAATGTTAGGTGTGAGGAAGATCAACTTATGACCATGATCCTTACGATTTTGTTCACGTTACTTATTATTGTAGAAAATCTTAATTAATATTACAAACGCAAAAGTTTGTGAGTATAGATGTTTGTTACTTGTATCACGCAAAAACTACTGAACGGATTTTGATGAAACTTTACAATATCTAATATATATTTTACAGTAAAGTTTCATCAAATACGACGGTCTGAGCGGAGGTTTGATACCCTAGCGGTGCCCTCAGACTAAAGTCGTATCCATCAGGCGGGAGTTGGCCTTTAGCCGCTCAGTCCGCGGGTTTGGAGTGCCCACTGCATTCGCCCCCTATCGTCCGGTGAAGCTGTAAAAGCCAGCTGCGACCAACAGCATTTAGAGTAGTCCGAAAAAAACCGCGGTACGTAATGGTAGACGGGCAGAGTTAGGAATATGTACAGTTCAATAATCCGATAGTATAACCACTAGCACATGTATTTAGTTGACCACTTGCACTCTAAACTCGACACTGTTGACTTCGTTTGACATTTGATTAGCATGAACGTGACGCGCCACGTGGACACCATGTATATATACCACCAACCAACCACTAATCACATACATCGATAGTTTAATTGCGGCATCTATTTAGATCATTGAAGATCATTTCGTAACATACAAAGTTATGTAGCGTTTCATAATTTACCATCAACATTTTTAATGTCGCTGTGATGATAGAATGCATTACACACACTCATATAACGTTATGACTGTCACCCAGATGGGCTAGTCAAAGGAATGTTAGACATAGATACCTATATAAGCATAAAATGGAAATAAATTGGCTTAAAAAAAATAAATTCAGTTGAGTTTCTTGACAGTTCTTCTCAATGAAATCTGTATACTGAATTAAAAGGTAGGCCAAAAAAATTACAAAATCGAAGTGGACAGTAGGCAAAAAAAATTTATTACAAAAAACGTGACTTTCATAACCGGCTAAATTTTATGTTTTTTTTTAATTTAAAATTCTTTGCCAACTGTCAATGTCGTGGTGAACGGCGTGCCTACCGCCGACTTTCGGATTAATTTTTGGTTTGATATCGGTGTGAGAGTCGGTCAGAAATATAAATTGACATATATAGGTACTTTTGTTTTAGTATAAACTGACAATCGCTGGGTCATAGTAGTAAATCGCGACGTCGTGTTCATACGTTCAGAATTAATAAATGCATCCCATTGACTGCAATTCGAGATATGTAACTGTGTGCGTACCTTTGACTTCTACGATGTGCGGCTTGTCACCGGGCGCATGCGTGGTAGACATAACGGTGAGAGCGGACACGTGGCTCACCGAGCGCACCGTTGCTACGCACTGCCACGGCGCACCAAAAGCGCCGCACAGCGCGTTCACCAGCGACATTATCACGATGTCCATGTGGAATCCGCTGCCCTTCTTCAAGCCACGCTCTGGCTTGTCCACGATCAACCTGAGGTAAGAACACCATGTACGCACACCGTCCGGCGGACGCGCGGCGCGTTAGCGCATATACGCTCCTCAAGATAACTCAAATCTCACATTCGCAATATCACAATTGAATTGGACATTCGCAAGAGAAAAGTTCAGAGAGACTGATGGGAATAGTGTAGACGAGCACTCGATATGAAGATAGAAAAGATCCATATTGGACATTCGCAACACTAAGAAAAGAACACGGAGGCCCACCGGGACAGTTAATACCACCACTCGATATGAAGGTAGAAATATATTTCGCATTCTTACTCGGCGATGTGCGTCTCCATGAAGACGATGATGTAGACCATGAGAGCGGGCAGCACCATGGCGAGCGCAGCCCATGGCGGGATGGTTTCGAAGCCGGAGTTGAGCGGCACGAGCCACGAGCGCGCCAGTGTGGGGCTCAGGCCAGCTGGCACACGTAGCGTCTCGGTCCAAACGGGCACCAGGCACGATACGCCCACCATCAGCACTATCGCGATGGGCACGCCGAAGTCGCCGAGTGCGCGTCGAGCCTAGAGAAAACCATGGTCGGTCGGCAGGTCTGGTACGTCAGACGTCCGTTTATCATTAGACGGGCCGTGTGCTTGTTTGCCACCATCGTAGTATAAAAAACATGTTTACACAGAATTGTGAAAATATTTAACTGTATCAGTTATAGCATCTACATTATTGTGATTATTTATAATGGATCATCATGATTGCGTTGTCTTTATTCCATTATTTGGGTTCGGCGCAGGATATCATTAAATATAATGGATATAATCAAATATTTATTTATAATTCAAAATATTTTGTTATCTCTCGAATTATTGATATTTCTATAATACAGTATATATTGCACCATTTATATTGTTAGTATTATAATATACATATTTGTTTGACTTATAGTGCACAAACCTATAACAGTATCGAAACAAATTTGTTCAAAAGTAATAAGATCGGGTAATCAATTCTTAAAAAACTTATCCAACTATAAACATATACTCACGCTGCGTCCAAGGAACTTTCCATTGCGGAAGATACGTAGGTAGTAAGCGATGATGAAGGTGCTGAGTGTGAGCATGGTGCACCAGAGGGCGGTGTTCGGCTGCGGCGGCATCGGTTGCGCTGGAGCGGGGGACGGCAGCGCCGTGGCATTGGTCCCTGCATCATACACGAAATTATTAAACTGCTAAGCCTTATGTAATAAGAAATTATTTCATCATATTTGGATATGATGTCAGTGATCGAGCTACAATGTTCCATATAAAGGATAACAGGTTGTACGTTTAAGGAAATTAATTGATGAAGTAAATATTTTCAATACGTATACAATTAAGACTTACTGTGGATTTCAGCCAAGTTCAGTTCGGTCGCATGATATATACCATATATATCAAAGATGTGACCGAACAATTTAACGTATAATAATCTCTCTATGACTGAAGTAAAATTAATTACATAACCGAAAGTAAAGTAAGCAGAAAATAATATTGTTCTATGAGGTTGCCATTACCTATTACAGTCCCGTTTATGGATAGATCTGGCGCGGCCGTTGTGGTGGAAGTCACGGAGGAGTCGTTGAATTGACAGTAATCAATCCCGAGCGGGTGTGAGCGGTACACGTTGATCGTGCTCGTAATTGGTTCCGAGATGAAGATCAGCGAGATGAGAAAAGCGAAAATGTCTTCTGTGAATCTGTAATTTGACAACAAAAATGAGTTTCATCGCGATCTATCGTTCGTTAACTGTAACGATTAAATTTAGGACATCAAGAGACCTGGTAATCTTTTTGACAGCCACACTGCCTTCGACCGATGCTACGCCGAGCGCGATAGCTATCATCCAGAGACCGCAGTAGGTGCGCGCGGCGAGGAAGTCGAAGCCATAGGAATGACAGAAGTTGGCTAGTGACTCGTCGAGCAGTAGCAAAGGTCCAGTCGCGCCCGTGATCATCATCGGCTGCCCGGATAGCAGCGCAAACACTACGCCACCCACGCAAGTGAACACCTGTGCACATAGCCACATGAAAACCACCGCAATAATGAATGTCGTTTCTGCCAAGCCAAGCCAATATTTGTATGTGCTTACCAACGTCTCCGATATTCCAATAGCTCCGTAAGTTTTGTCAGCGAGCAATCCGCCGAAAGTGATAGCCGATGACAGTGCAGCGAAATACATGAAAATAGTAGCAGCCGCGCACTGGCCGTTCAACGCGTCTATAAAGTCCGATTTGTAATACGGGTAGCGACGCTTGATATCACGTATGACACCTGGTGATTAAATACAAATAAAAAATTACGTATCCATAAATATTCTCAATAGAAAAGTAATAGTAGTAGTAAGTAAGTAAACTCACCTCCGAACAGACGACCCGTTCTCGAAAGAGGATCATCTGGTTCCTCAGGCGGAGAGCCCTTTTCGGCTTCCAGCAGAGCTTTTTTCTCATCGGATGCGGGTGTCACCGCCTCCGAAGCAGCACGCCTCTTGTCTAAAGCATTCTGTTTGCGTCGTCGTATCATTTCACTCTTTGCCTTCAGTTCGTCTATGGGCAACAACGCCTGCCTCTCCCAGTCACCAGGGGGTAACACTATCGAGTCATCCAAAAATTCGTTGATAGCGGACAGCAAATCTTTTCTGTCTTCAGCTCTATATGCGATCGAATGGAACGTCGGATTCGACATGAGTGTCGATATAGACCGGCCTACCTCGTGATAGTCGAGATCAGCACCGCTCGGTCCCAGCAGAATGAACATAAATCTCACCGGAATCGGTACCTCCGTAATCGACGGCATGAGGATGCCTTGGGCGAGCCGCACGAATGCAATAGTAGGTTGGTCTAGGAAACCGACAGCGCCGACGAGGACCGTGGTAGCTTCAGCATCTTCCGGAATGCGTTTCATGATAGGATCAGTAGGTCGGCGCAGTTCGTCCTGCGAACCGTCAGCTAAAGCCACCGCTGTTAGGTACTCCACTTCGCGCAGATCCACACCACCGGTAGACGTTTTCTTTTGAAGAGCTGCCGCAGGTAGCGCATACGAGCTGCGCCGCCGTCGCTGATCCGCCAAGTTCTAAATGCATACAAATTACCTATTATCCTCACTGTCACAATATTCAGTAAAAGTTATACCTATATATAATAATTGCATGAATGTTGTTCACTTATATTCTATTAAAGGTTATTACAACATAAGCTCAAAATTATCAATAAACAATTTACTTAAACAAACCAGTGTAACGGAAATCACTTGTTATCTGTAAAATTAAAGGTTAAACAACACAAGCTCAAAAGAATCAATGATAAAAGAGATTTGAAAAAAAAATAAACAAACCAGTAGAAGAGAAATCTATTGCTATGAGAAGGTAGGCGATCGACGATATGTGTGTATATGTCAGTAATTTGTATAACTTGCGTAATTCTTTTTTATTTGTATGCATAAGTCCATAGAAAACATTAATTAAAGTTAATCGATATTAAAAATAAAATTAATAAGTGTTTATCATAAAACTTACAAAGTTTTGTATTTTATCATCAATTGAAGTATAAATACCATAACTAACAATGCTAACATAATAATGTCGCCGATTTCACCAAGAGAGACACAATAAGAGTTAATATAAGATACGTAGGATTTTTTATATTTATGTCAAAAAATGTCGATATTAAAATTTATCATCAATATAATCAACGAGGAGTAGTAGTAATAGTGAGGAGAGAGTAAAGGACTTCCGTTATTAGAAGTGTAAAATGAATTCCTAAATTTTAAATTAAGCTATTATTCATATTTTATCTTTTTCTATAAATTATAAATAGCAAATTTGGCGATGGAGCATATTTGGATTACAGAATTATACAAAATACCGATGACATTACATCTAAAGGCATTACATACTCGATTATTCGGCAACTCATTCCTAATGACAAATGACAGATACCTAACATTGAAAATAAATGGTATATACAGGTGAAACACTATCGACTTGAGTTGAGAAATGCTAACAAAAACAAAACTTTTTCCAATAAATAAAATATTCCAATAACCGTGCTACGCTTGTTATAGGAGGCGTTTGTTAATTGGAATCACTCTATAAACGAAAACGAAATGAACAATCAAAACATAACAGCAATGAATGAAAATTTCAGCAGAGAACTGATGTCATTACCATCTACATATCATTTTAAAGTTATAGGTGAAAAGAAAACCTAAAAAACGGCAGGTTGAACAAAATGCTAATGACGATGGTGGTGACTATGTGAATGTTTTACGAAGTGACAATGCACTGCCAGCTGTAGTCTACGACGGCGTGAGGCACAAGAGATTCCGGCGCGAGAACTGCCATTGCTCACATAACAATTTACTACGATTCGTTGAGCCCGTTCGGTCGTGAATAAGTTGCGTTCGTATAATAACGGTGGCAGACATAATTTTTAGAAATGTCATTAATGATGTCCGATTGCACGTCGCGGATAGGAGACGATGGCAGTTCTAACGTCCGCGAGCAGTGGTGGATTGTGGACGGGAGGTGTGGGGTTCCGTACGAGGAGGTGCGCGCTGTGGCGACGGCAGGCGGATGTGGCCGAACACATGGAGCAGCGCGGGCGGCCCGCGCCCGGCCCAGCGCCGCCTTCTTCCAGCCACAGCGACTGCGCAAACACATCACAACTCACCATAGCGCCCCACTTATTAGTCAATCTAGTATATCAGACACTCGCGATAAGGGCCAGAGAGACTTGGAAGTTAGTAATCGACAACATGACGAGCCTGACTTACCATCCGGCACCGAAGCCGTATTCCTACACTGACCAATCATTATCAAACAAAAAAGCTAACACGTATCTATTAAATTTTCTTCTGTTATAATTTCTATATTTACGATATACCCAAAGAAGTAATCCGCCTAATTTGGATTTTCTTTTTATTTAATGGCCATGTTTTTAACATCAACTTAAAACATATTTTGTACGGGCAACCGCACATGCCTGCTTACTGTGCAATACACAATTGCCTACACATGTAATTTCACCTCATTATATTTATTTTAGTAATAAAAATCAGTGTTCGAGCAGCATTCAACCAAGGCGGTTTTATTTAGCAAAAACCCCTCATCAATCAATCAATATCATTATCACATCAATCAATATCATAATCACATCAATCAATATAATAGCAACATCTTTCTTGATATCCATTTAGAGCTCTAGGATTAGAGTCATGCACATTTAAATTTTAAAATATTCTAGTAATTGTTCAAAATATATCTATACAGTTATTACCTATCAACTTTTCAATAGAAATATCACAAAATAAAAAAGTTATAATTTATGATCCAGTAAAAATCTTATGCGAGCAGCGCAGGACCGATCGTCGTGGAGATCTTTGGGGGAGGCCTATGTCCAGCAGTGGACGTCTTCCGGGCTGCGATGATGATGATGATGAAAAATCTTATTTACTTTAACTCGATACCTATACACATTATAAGCTAAGCCCATATCAGTGCGCTTTTATGTTCAATATGCATTTAAATTTTTACTTACTCTTATGTCAAGCGCTATGCCATAAGACGCATGCAGTTTACAATCCATATATATGTGCCTATCGTATGCAACCTTCACCGTGGTCACCCATTAAAGACAGTGGAGAAAGATTTAAGACGGAACGTCTAGTGCGGCATATTTATATACAGGAAGTGCAAAGAAAAAGCACAAGATAAGAATAATCTGGTAAAAAGATTATTTGAAGAAACTGAATATATCAGTTATTATTGAAAAATTTAGAGGTGACACCTTATGAAACAAATGACATCCTTATTAAAAAAACACACGAATGTTTGAAGTCACTTTCTAGAAAATTTTGATATGCTCAATTCGATAATGTAAGATAAATTTCGTCATCTGCCAATGTGTTACTAAAATGCATTCGTTGCTTATATTACGATGTCAATAGATCGAATAACTAACACGAACTTTTCTCCTTTTCGTGTCTAGATTGTAAGTAAAATTGTAAGAACCGACTAGGAGAACAAAGCACAAATACATGGGTACAAGAGGAGAACTAGCGATTATACCAAACGGTTAGGCTGATGGTAATAAGGTGTGAATCTGTTGGGGATGAGTTCAGATCTACGCCCAGCAGTGGCACGGGTCGCGATGAAGATGTCTCAAAGGGCAGTCCTCAGGCTTCTAAGACCTTTACAATTCACATCCACGTAGTAGACATGCCTACCTGCTTCATAGTGGTGACGATTTTTGCGCCTGCGTAGCTCTTACTACTTATAATAAGATTATGTATTTAATTATACAAAGTTTTTTATGCTTCTATGATTCTATATTAGAAGCCAAAAATAAAAATATTAATTATTATCGCTTCTCTGGTAGAAGCGACAATAATATTTTTTTTATTATCGCTTCTTGTAGCTTTTATGTAATTATTTACAATAATAATTGATTATTAAATTATAATAATAATAATATTAATCTATAATAATCTCAGGACAATTCACACAGCGCCAACTAAACCCAAGTAAGTTAGCTAAAGCGTGTGTTATGAGTACTAGATAACTGATACAAATACATAGATTATTTTCATAAATACATATATATTATACATAAAAAACCCAGACCGATACAAACAATCATCATGAATACAAATATTTGCCGTGAGAGGAATCGAACCCGCGACCATCGGATTTAATGCGGCATGCTAAACCGCTGGACCACCGACGTCGTCATGTAGGTAAATATAGAAATACTTTCAGAGGTATATTTCGAATAGTCTTATTTTTGAGTATCTCTATTTCGTATGTTTCTGTTGCCAAGCAGTTTTGTTTGTAAGATCTCGTCTAATAATTACTGATTAATTTTAATATCATCAATGTAATATATATTTATATATATTTACATTGTGACTATTCAGAAGTGCTTAAATTAAGTTTATTTGAATAAATGATTTTCTATTCTATTCTATTCTATTCTATTAATGATACAAAATTACGTTTTCCGTTCGTAACTAATGTAAAATACTACATAATACTACTACATTGTGTACGGGGTACTGCACGTGCATAGAGCACAATATAGCAGTATATCATTTTCATTGAATACTGAAAGATAAAATGTAATTGTGACATCTGCACTCATAATAGTATTACGCAGTCATTTGTTTTCAGTAGTACAAGTGCTGGCAGATACACCGCACGCGCGTCGCGTCACACGCGGCAAAAATCCACTCATCATCACTTCGGCCAAATAGAATGTCAATGTTATGCGCCAAGTTACAATGACTGTTCCGCAAATAATTTGTAACGTCGCGCAAAAATGTATATGCAACGTAACATTCTCAATACACTCTAATATTGGCTGTCTACATACATTACAATAAATATATATCACATATTACACGATTAAAAATATAGCTACGTACATAACAGATTTTTATTCTACTTTTATATTAATAATTTATGTATAATAATTACAGTTACAAAGATTGTTAATATGATACATAGAATATATAATACAAGCTATGGCGGCATCTGTGGTACACCGGCTAGGCCACCGCCTTACTTCTGATACTGTTGCGGGTTCGAATCTTGCCCAAAACAGTAGTAGTATGTAATATTATGTTATCTGTGGTAGTAGTATGATTGTCTCGCTATTTGCTGTTTGTCAGTCGTTTAGTATGACAAATAGCAAATAGCGAGACAATTCTAGGCTCAAATTAAGTAGAACTTGTACTATGTACAAGTAGATTTAGCCTCGATAGCGAGCTCTCTGTGAATTGTCCTGGGTTAATAATAATAAATTATTTTTGCTTACAGTTCTAATAGCAGTTAGACACAAATTTAGAACAGTCGGTGACGTAGTTAACATTTCTATGTAAGGACCGTACATAACATATAATCTTTACCATTTGTATCTAATGGCTACATACAAAAAACGTAACTTGTCATTTGATCGTATCGGTCAGTTGGAGTGTACTAATAATGACACACATTGGACTGATGGTCCGATAGCCGGGTGGGCGTACCTGCAGACTGGTATAAGAAGAATGCTTGCGACCGGTGATAGAGAAGCGGAAGCCGGAGCGGTCATCATGTACATGTCTATGACGCAGCAGCAGCGAGCGCATTACCACCGGCTTGTCGTCCTCCTCGATCAGCCCTTCCGACACCATGCTCTCCACTACCCTGCGCACCCACACATTCGTCACATTCTTAATACATACACACACCCGGATCACTGCATGAACATCAAACTCTGGTGCAGTGAGAATAAATACCGCAACGTACGCACTTAACATATACAAAATTTATTTTCCTAATTTAATAGTATGTAATATAGAAATATTGTAAACTGATACTGTATTTTATGTGTGCGTCAAAATATAAATATGTACCTATTTAGTGAATAAGAGAGAACTACATGCATATAAGACAAACTCCGAAAGGAGTTTTGCAGGACAGTAATTGGAAACTTGGCAAAATTGAAAAAACAAAGCTTTCTTATCTATCTACAATCTACGAGTATGACGTTTAGTTAACACTAATTTTACTACTGCCTCTTATTATATGTGTAGCACTGCTCTTGACTGAACGAAACATATGAATATTCATGTTCGGCATATTTTTAAATGTATCCGAGGACTACTGGCTGACAGTGTGTTAACATACATATAATAGCTGCTTTTAAACTTTCGTGTCTACTACACATTATTAGTATAGTTGGTCGGGTCTAAACACGAAGAATGTTATGGTATAAATTATCTTTATCTTTTTATATCATTAGGCTATTAGCACTAGCCGCGGTCATGAGTCACGAGCTGACTGGAATACAGCAATATCGATATCAGTAGGTATCGAAAATTGTCATCAGATCTTAAACTAATACATACAATTTATTCAGCATAATATTATTCCTGTAAAGATCCGACTAAGTACAATGCACTATAAATTAGAACAATTGGTTGTTGTATTTTTTTTATGATATAGAAAATACAGTTAAGTGTGAGCGGAGTCGCACCTGTAAGCAACGCCTGGCAGGTCCTTCTCATTGAGATCGAGGAGCACGACACCGGTCTCAAGGCATCGCCGCAAGTTCAGCAACGAGTGGAAGGAGAGGCTGGCGACGTGAGGGCGGCCCCACCTCGCGGACCCCTCCTCCACGTCCTCCTCGTACTTGATCCAACGCGCCGTCTCCTTCCACTCGGCGTCGCCCTGGTCGGTCTCCAGTAACTCGTCCAGTTGGACGAACACCTGCGCGGCATTAGGTACTTCTTTGTAATAAACATATGTAAAGTTATTGAGAGCAGCGCAGGTAAATAGGTGTTAACTTGCACTTACCGAATGTGGGTTATGGTCATATATTTTCTTGTATGTTGAGTCCGATAATAAGTTCTGCACTTTATCGCCGCCATCTTTGCGCCCGACATGCACCGTGGAGCCCTGTTGACAACGCATTTGCTAAATTGCGATTAAGTACATATTATAAATTTGTATTATTTATAATATGTTCAATGAGGCAGAAGGGTGCTATGAGGGTACATAGTAGTTTGGAACTCTTTACCGAGGTGGACGCCGCGGGAAGAAATAACGGGCGCAACATCGCGTACTTACAACAATCTTACTTAAAGTATGTAATATTATGTTATCTGTGCTTCAAGTAAATAAAAAATAGTTATTAAGTAGTAGTGGTCTCAAGATACAATTGAGACAAGTCAACTGGGCTATGAGACTTTGATGCGTTGTGTAAATACATCAATAAAGCAAATGAGGAGTTGAGGATGCCTGCCATGATCTACATTCTACGCACAGATTTTCTGAAGACTTTAGAACGCTTAAAGCGAGAACATGTTTTATAATATATCCCTCATGCAACATCATTTACTTCTTTGATTACGTTTAAAACAATAATAGTTGGTCGTACAGATAGTAAATTTTGTATAGAACTAGCGGCCACCCACAATCTCCGTCGTACTCGTATACGTATATACTAATATTAAGTAATAAAGAAGAAAAGTTTATGAGGTTGTAGGAGTTAATCTCTGGATCTACTGAAATGATTAAAAAAATGGATCTACTAAACCGATTTTAAAAATTATTTTAGTGTTGGAGAATACATTTATTGAAGAATCCTATAACCTACATAATATAACGACGAGCAATATGAGCAGCAATGAAAATATAGTAAAAAGGGGAGAAATGTGACGCAGACGAAGTTTCTAAAGAATAATATTTATTACAGTTATATTCTGAAACGTAATCTTGCAAGAATTAATTATTTTACGATCGCATGATAACTCGCATATTAGACTCTGAGGCATCAGCCTATGTTATACTGATGTAAAGGCTGTAGAATTTCTTTAAAATTAATTGAGTAGTTTTGGGTGAAAATGTAACAAACATCCATACAAATAAACAAACTTTCGCTGTGCATACAAACGTACACAGATTCCATTTATGCTATGAAAAAGGAGATAGTGAGAAAGGGTCTTTCAAAACGCGAAGCGCTTTTGAACGCGAAGCGTCTCAACAAAAGCCACAATTACCTTATTCTGTTGGATTTTGTGCCTGCGGAGAGCTCGCGGATCATCGCTGCGGTGGCTGTTCAGATCGTCCTGGTCGGCCTCCGGCAGCGGCTCGTCGCCCGGCGAGATGGACACCCTGCGCTCGCCGCCAGGGTCGACGCCTCCCGGGGCGGGTCCGCCTTCTTGTAATGAGTACTTGCGAGACTTATGCGGGTGCAAGTGGCGTCTGTAGTAATGAGAATAAATGCATATTAGTACTTATTATATCATTAGGTATATATACTCGTTCTTAGACCATAGCATCACAGACCCGTGATAGCCCGTGATAAGGACATGGCATGGAGAGGCAACGCTTCGATACGTAATTAATATCTAACCTTCAGGATTGGCAATCCTCGAATATGAGTGGATACATATATCCCATATTAGGAGTTTATTATAGTTAATATTAGTTCATTCATAATTTAAGAGACGCGCTCTTGTCGGTGGAGCTCAATCTCTTTACTTGTTGATTGGAAACGACTCTAACTTTTTCCTTATTCTGCTTAATAGTTATAGCTGAATCTTGGTCTCCTCCTTCCCCTCTTTCCGTCTGTTTTTTTTTTCGATATTATAATTAATAAATTCGGGGTGTCGTAACAAGTGTTAATATTAATATATATATTAATATTAATATTAACACTTGCTACGACACCACGAAATGACACTACAAATATTACAAAAAAGACGGATTTGCCCCTGGTCTATTTTCTTCCCTTTGTCTCCGAAATCAACGCCATAAAACAAACATATCGACACAGTGAGCCCAGTCGTGATGCAAACATTAAATTTTGTTACTTGTATTTATTACAAAGTATTCATAAAATGGCCTAAGTTACTCAATGCTAGACCTAGTTGAACCTAGCAAAAATATTGATTTTAACATATCGTGCTCTGATTGTGACTTCCGTGCCTGTATAAACTGTAAATTTTCCAATATAATACACATTTATATATATACAAACATTTGGCAAATAATCAACGATTTCTCCTTGTACATGATTTCTGAAATAAAATAGGTACTGCGCTTAAAAGTAGCAGATTTATTTCAGAATTTATTCGTTAAAATAGCAAATATAGAACACGGTCTGTATAAGAAAAGTGTAAATTTTACAAAATCCGTAAATGTCGGCGTCGCGTCGTAGTCGCGTCGCGTCGCAGGCGCGTGGTCCGTAGAACGGCTGCCAAGTGATTTGGACATGTTCGGCATATTGGTTTATACAAACATGTATAATATTTATTAGGTGTATAGGCATTTATAAAGTGACAAATAATTATGAGCATACTATCCTACAGAGCATAGTAACAAATGTATATACGATAAATTTTTATATAGCATCATGAAATTTCATTTAAAAATAATAAAGTTATTTCACACAATAATTTATTATCTGTATAGATCGTTTTTTAATGGATTATTATCAATAATAATATATACGTATTAATACCCAAGTAGGAATTGTGATGACACATATATTACATATGATGATAGTATTATTTTGAACAGACTGTCAAAAAAACGAATAAACCACGAATACATACAGGTATATATGTATATTGTTACAAATATAACCGGTACACAAAGAAACACATTGACTATCAATTGGGATTGACTAATGATCTGCAATCAACGCGAGAATAGAGCGATACAGTACAAATATTCAGTGACTAAGATTTTTACATATCCACTGTAATAGTCACAAGAGTAATGATCATTGACTTAATAGTCGCACTACAAAAACACCTGCTCTTAAGTTGATATAAATTTGAATCTATACTATAACCATACTCACTTATAACAATGTTATAATATTATAAGAACCATTAGCAGATAATCTTCAGAAACTACATAAAACAACAGCAAAAAATATGATCTGTCACTTCTTGTATAGTTAAATAAAGTATTCATATTTTTTTATTTCAATCGGCCATCATTCTAACAGACCAATTAAAAAAAAATCTAGAGACAACTGTGAATGCGAGTTAAGAGTAAGTATTTAAGTGGCTGTTTCTAACAAAGTGGTTTAGTATAGGGACATGAGTGACGTAAACAAAAATCTATTAATTCTTGAATCACGACACAGTTGAGACGAATAAGAATAATGTAGTCTTCTGTCTGCTTATTGTAATTCTTCTCTGATTGCATAATTCGTAATACTTTATATAAAAAACATTCTAATCTATTACATGATGGTTAATGTTAAATTAGTGATCGAGATGGAGGTCGCGTGGCGCGGATCGGTCGCGAGTCGTGCTCTAAATGTTGTAGCCTCCAGCGCGGGCTTCGCTCCACGTCACGATATCTTTGGTACTTGACCTTGAGCATGTTTCTTGCAGGCAGCACGACGAGTGCTCATTCGGGCAGCGCGGCGTCATCCGAGGGGACCGGCTCCCAAGTTGGCACGGTATTGCAGTGCTACCGCTTTGTCAATACAATAATATCCTTGGACAATTTACTCAGCGCCATCTAGTCCCAAGTTAAGCTAAGCTTGTGTTATGGGCACTAGACTACACATAAATATGTATATAGATACTTCCTTTTTGTAAAAGTTAATCTCATAATATTATATAAGCGAAAGATTGTGAGTATAGATGTTTGTTACTCTTTCAATCAAATATATTGAACGGATTTTGATGAAACTTTACAGTAATATAGCTTATGCATCGGAATGACACATAACACATAGGCTATAATTTATATTGAAATTGAACGCGGGTGAAACCGAAGCTACAGCTAGTACATACATAATATACATTTGAACACCCAGAAGGATACATACTATCATACTCATGATTACAAATGTTTGTATCGTGCGACGAATTGAACCCGCGACCATCGGCCGTCAAATAATGCCGTCAATATGCGTCTTTACATTCAGAAACGACACTGTTCGATGAGCGACCACGATAACAAATTAATTACAGTTCGGTGATACCAAATCTCAAAGTTTATATTGTACAAGTATAATTATGGCATCGAGACGCAGCATTCCTAGATCAATACTGTTCATTGATAGACGAGGGTAATTATTATAAAATATAACCCACGACTATATACTAGGTACAGTTATCAGAACCATGTGAGGTAACTTGTAGTGTAAATATAAAATATACGTACACGTAATATACGTACAGTAGGTTCAATGTCATTTTAATGGAAGTTTTTAAGCATCTGTCACTGTATATAGGTAGGTAGGTACTATGATTTATTGTTTTCCAATTAGGATATTCTTAGTTCATTGAGATGATTAGTTGACAGCCCCTGAATAAGTTAACATTTAAACAAATAATTAACAACATTTAATTTTAACTACAATTGTCTCTCGAAGTACTATTCATTAACTTTATGTAAATGAATATATCTTGTTCTGCGAGCTATATCATTATGAATTCAACAAAATTGGTTTTAGTTTTAGAGATTATGAATAATGGAAGTATTGAAAATGACTTTGCTGAATAGAAGTGAGTTATTTAATTCTCTACCTTCTCCGTTATGAAGATGTATGTAGGTAGGGTACTATGTTCCCTATTATTATATATGTTATATGGTATATTTGATTTATGTATGAATTTTTCATATTTATCTGTAGCTTTATATATGTGTATGTATATGCATGTTTACATGTACTTACTTTTAGTAAATATATATTATTTATGACACAAGTATTATTTGTCTTATTCATTATATTTGTATCGCCTTCAGTTTTTCTTTGCGCAACCCGTGGTTGACTGGTAGAAAATGCCGTAAGGCGTCAAGTCCGCCATATGTACTTTTACGGTATTTTGTGCATTTCCTAACATAACATCCATGGTTACCATTCAATGACTGGTAATGGTAGTTTAAATCTGTACCGTCCTATGATAACGAGAATAAAGTCGCACTTTTTCTAGAATTTTAGTTTTACATACACTTATTGTCACCGGGTGGTCTACTTCGGCCTTTTATAAATATACATATGTATTGTATCACTATTTTCTTATATATGTACATGTATGCTAGGTATAAAAAAATTGTTTAATTTGTTTCATTACATTAATTATTAATAATTACAAATTAATATGATTAATAAGTATGACAGATAGAATATATATAAATAGAATAAAAACAAAAATATCTTAAACGTACACGCCATTCCTGTAATGCATTGCATTTGACAAATTAATAAACAGTAGTCCGTACCAGCAATTTTGTACCCGCTACCCGCAAGTTTGTAAGGCTAGTTTTTTTATAATCAAAATTTACATAATTTTAAAATAAAAATCGCCAAAGTTACTCCTTATAACTTTAGCTATTTGCGAGTTAAACTCCCGACATATCGTACAGCCGTTTCAGAGAACCGATAGAACACACAAACAGACCATCAATTTATTTAAATTATTTATTGATGTTACTATCGCATATGCTTTCATACGCATTTTGTGAGAAGCTATTAATATGAAATTACATTATATTAGCAAACACTTCAATTATATTTATTTGTATAACACAGACGTGTTTATTGTGGGCTACACAATGGCAGTGACACTGTACGCACTCGCGAGTCAATGTCAATAGCTCAATCAATTGATGGATTCATTAATAGATACGATGCGATATTATATTGATGAAAATAAATTTTTATATTCATAGACGCGGTTATACTATAATAGTAATTCGAAACGGGAGTCAACCGTATTGTTACAGCAGTGCCCGGCTGCCGGCTGAGTGTTTTTATGCATGAGAATGGAGGGATGCGCTCTCATTCGCTAACGGTTTACGCACCGGGGCACCAGTAGGGGATGATAAGATGATCATATGGCAATGGTGATTTACCACTCTTTGCGTTCATACTTAGGTGCGGTTACAGCACAGTTCGGAAGTCATCCCTATTTGTACAGCTTTGCCCGGCTGCCGACTGCCGATCTCCAGGGCAAGATGCGTTACCCGACTGAGTGTTTTTATTATGCATGAGTATATACTCGTAGTAGAATGATGCACCCGTCTGCGCTAACGGTTTACGCACCGGGGCATCAGTGGAGGATGATAAAAAGAGCATGAAGTCATATCAGTTAGTCTATCTTGGCAAATAGCAATTTATTTGGTGTTTGGGTTGTTTATTTAATTAGTTGTATTAAGTAGGTATATTTATCAACCGGTACATATATATTTTTAAAGAGTTAATTATTGATCGTCTTATTTATGGTATA